ATTCTCAGATACTTTCTCTCTGTGTGGGAAAAATATGAAAGATCTGTAGGACTGCATTCAATCTATTCTCTTCTGGGCATCAAAAGGAACTCTACTTTTTCCATTGTGACCCATTTGTCTCACCAATATTACGCTGGAAAGATCTGCCCAACATCACAGCTGGATGAATGAATGTGTACAACTATAGACAGGAAAGGCTCTGCTTTCTAAGAGGAAGCCAATGCCCCAGATCAGCTTCCATCTCAGATACTTTCTCTGTATGTCTCATAATCTGTATATTAATCTGTTGCTTTGATTTTAAGAAAAATAAAGCTATCTTATAAGGAGAAACACATTCTACGATCCTACTAGGTTTAGGAGGGTTTTTCTTTTCTTGAATACTTAAAGGTTTTTTTTTCCAAAGCTGCATATTTGAAACATATGTGACCGTAAGTGGAACATGTTAGTTTTCATTGTGCCAAAGTTCCTAGGGGGCTCCCAAAACCCCAATCAGAGGATGTGGCTTGTCACCCTAATTTTTGAGACCTTAGCTTCTGGATGGGGTCCAGAACAGAGTGTAGTTACTCCTTTCCCCATAATTTCTTCCATTCCATCCATAACCATCTTCCCTCATCCCAGGAGTTTGTTTTGATCACCCAGTGGTAGCTTAATCAATCAATTTTCCAGAGCAGAAGGAGGAGAGAAATGATTGACAGAGAAAAGAGGAAGTTACTGCAGAGATAAAATTGTGTGAGAGAGAACATGGATGCTAGCCCAGTTCCAAAACTAGCAATCATTCTGCTCTGCTCTCTACTTTCCTCATCTCCTAAGTAGGAGTTTGGACTGGATGACTTCAAAGATATTTAGGCTTGACATTCAATGACTTTGTAAAATTCTTGATTTATGAACTGTAGTAAGATATGTGGATTCAAAATGTTTCCATATATGCGGATTGACACAAAGGGAAAATAAGTATAAGAAATCAATGCAATAATAATTTGAACCCAGGCTGTGGAATCTGTCAATCAAATTAGCAACATCTTCTCCCAAAGGCAGGCTTTTCAGGAAGTGGATATAACAGAGCTCGTGTATCTGGTCAAGAACTTCAGAGCAAAAAACCAACAAGGATCTAAATACTCATACATTCACATTGGCCCAGTTGTAAGCTGCGAGGCCTGAAACCCATAGACCAAAAGAGCAAAATGGGAACAGGTAGGAGCTGATGGCGCGGCACTGTCACAGAATTCCATTGTCTCCTGTTTCCCTTCTCAGGGCTTCCAGTTCAGTGAATGAAGTCTGCTGACTTCATCAAAGAAGCTGTTTGTGTTAACTAAATCTTCAAAACGTCTTTGCAGAAACCTGCTGATTAGCATCTGATTAAATAACCAAATTATCATAGATTAAGCATCACAGGGCTCTAAGTAAGGAGCTAACAGTGTTCCCTTTCCAATACAACTGCATTAGGGATCAAACAAAATGGGGTTAACTGTAAAACTTGGCAGCGCTAAGCACGGGCTCTGTGTTGCAGCGTGCCTGCGTAATGCTTCTGTCATGAGTCTCTTCTGTTGTCATGTCATTTAGCAAGACAGATCACCCGATGATGGAGTGGATGACTTTGTTGCCAAGTCTCTTATGCTTAAGAATATTTAAGGGTAATCTCATCTACGTATCCATCTCCATGTACCTTCTAGTACAAAAACTGTTAGGGTTTTTTTTTTATTCAATTAAATAGAAGTAAACACATAGATCTTAGAACTGTATGATATTCAAAAGTACATTGTTCAAGTTTACATTCAATACCCTGATGCTTCCTACTTTAGCTTCGAAATTTACAGCAGAATATTTTGAGTAATGGGTAAATTACAACTTCAAAATGAATTTATTCTAAAGTTTGTATAGAGTATCATCACTGAGCTTTTGGCATAGTTTTCTGAACTTATCTTAGTCTGACCCGTGACTTTCTATGTGAAGACGTGTGAAAGAATCTATCACCTCTATAAAGATACTTCTTGCTCCACATAAAAATTGCTAAATATGTGTAAACAGCTTCATATGTCCCAGGTGGCACTATGAATTGCTACTGTTGTTTTTCTAATAACCACGGTGCCTCTAGGCTCAAGAAAAAAAAATGGGGTATTGGATCAGTAGATGGAATTCATATAAAAGATATTAGACTGTGTAGCACAGTTCTATCTATTTAAATAGTTCAGACAAGTCATTTTTAAACAACACTTTTTAGGTTAGGCTTTGTAAAGAATTTTAGATTCAGACATGGATACCTATGCCTTTTGAATAATTAAGCCTGGTTGTTTTTCACCATGACAACAAAAAGCAAGAACCATGTCAGTAGCTGGAGATTTAATTTTTCATACAAACTCAGAATTGGAAGAAAACTCATGGACTTGGTGATGAACCGCATTTTAGTTTAGACATCAAGTAAAGCATACATCATCTGGAAAGGACGATTGTCCCTCCCTTGCCCCAGCCATCAATTTACACAGTCCATCCTTCCTCCCCCAAGCATATTTTACAAGTTATCAGAAGGGAACTGAATTTGAAGACAACCATGTTCTATAGAAAGATATGGTATGTCCCAACGAAGGTTCATTGGAGGTATGGGTCAGGGACATCTAAAGGGATCGAGTAAAAGAGAGAACTGCGGGGGTCAGAAAGAGATCATAGCCTACAGACTTCAGGAACCCTTCCCTTACCCATAATTCCTTTCAGAATTTGATATTTCCTTAGTAGTAAAAATATTTCCACAAATGGAAGCATGTCCTTAAGTATTCTTGCCAAGCTCAATTTAATAGAGAGCTAAGAATATATATGTGAACATTCAGCATCTTCATTCGTAACAGTCTAGTACTAGAAAATCCAGAGGCCCTTTATCGAATGGCTAAGTAAACTTGTATGTATAGTATGAATGTATACTATGACACACAATTATCACAACAGCCAACCTGTTGACAGACACAAACTTGCATCCGGGAAATAATGCAGAGTAAAGAGGGCTGGGCCTAAAGGACCACATGTTTTATGATTTATTTATGTGGTGTTCTGGGAGTAACAGAATGATGGGAAGGAATGGCTTTGTGACTTTCAGAGGTTCAGGGAAGAAGAAAAGGAGAACACATCTGGGAAAGGTAACATAAGCTCCCTGTAATAACATCCTCTATTTCTTGACAGCATAGATATCGATATCCTGGGTATAAGTAGACCCTGGCTTTGAAGGTGAGGACAACTTGCTGTATGTGAACCATCATATTGTTAAAGCAAGAAGTTCAACCTAAATATTGGTTATGCATGGTTTATGAGTCAATTTCTCCATAGTTACTACTGTTTTCTGTATTTATATCTGCATCTGTCCCACACTGTAGATATATATATATATGTATATATTTATATATACATATATATATGTATATATATGTATATATATCAGTTATAAGTGTTGAGCTGACATGCTTTTGTATGCCAGTGATCCCAACATTTAGGAGGTCAAGTTCAGGCCCAGCCTGGGATACAGAGTAAGACCTTATCTTCCAAGCAAACAAGAAAACAAACACACGGCTGCAGAATGACTCTTCTTGTCTTATCGTTTATTTTCAAAGAAATCAGAGATATTCCTTGATTACTAAGTTCAAAGACAGTTTAACAAGTTCTTTGTATCTGCAGATAAACTTGTATATGCCAACCAATTGTCTTGCCAAGATCTGGATGACAATAAAATTAAATCTATAAATCAGTTTGGTAAGAACTGACATCTTTGTTTTATCCTAGAGAATTCTAATTCCATATTACCCTCAAAGTATCTAAGTATTTCAACTATTTATTCCTTGCTATTTCGTTATATTTGCTGCATATTTTTAGTGAATTATTGATTTTAGTCAGCAGTATTGATTCTGAGCGTTCATTTACTTCAGGGAGTAAAATACCATACTAAAATGATTTCAGACACAGGGAAGAAAAAGTCTTAACTTTTATAGCATGTTAATTTGTTTACTGGAAAATGGAATGCAATCAGACAAAAAGAATTATTCTTCTTTCTACACATCTTTTTCTTCTCCTCACTGAAGCCCAAATGTACCCCCTTTGATTTGTGGCCACTTTCAAAAGTTCATGTATCCCGTTGGAACTTAAACCTAGTATGCAACAATATTATTTGCTCTATTTAAATTGAGATTTAGTCACTATGCAAGGAACTGTTGAGGTGTGTTTTTGTGCATGCATGTGCGCGCATGTGTACATGTTGCATGTGTGTATATTTGTGTGTGTGTGTGTGTGTGTGTGTGTGTGTGTGTGTGTAAATGATGGGAAGCTGTGTTTTCCATGACTTCTTCATTTCTCCTTCCAGGAGGGATTTATGGAAAAGAAACAAAAGTGTCGCAGGTAGAAGCCTGTGTCAGGGGCGTCTGCTGTACCCTTTCTCAATTACAGCAGAGGCCTCTAACAGCTAGACTCCCGACAAATGTGCCCTCAAATAAACAGATATGGATATCTATTCTAGGGGTAGAGGTGATGGTCCTAGTGCCAGGTCATCACACCTGTGTGCCCACCTCAGCTCAGCAGCAATACGCACTCAAGCAAGAGACCTAGCAGCACAATTTCCTCAAACTGGTGAGCATGAAGTTGATACTATTTAGCTATTTAATCCCAATCTCTCAATGCCTCCCAGGCTTTTCTTAAGGAGAGCTGAAGTGGGATTGTTTAGAAAGAACAAAGCATTTGCAGATCTCTAATTTGTAGGCTCCTCTTAATTTCCTAGCCCTTCCTTTAAAAGCACATTTTAGATCTATTGGAGCTAACTGACTGGAAGATCACAACTGCAATTATCTTTCCTAAATCCTGCCAGGTAGAAGCTATAGCTTCAAGGTATAGTCTTTAGGAGATAAGGGAAATCTCTCATGTTTTCTTTAAAATACGGCTTGAGAGAAGAAATTACATTTAACGTTCTCTTTGACATTCTTTATACCTCCAAGCCCATGACACACATTAGAGGCTTAGTAAATCATACATTGAATGGAAGAATGGCTATGTGTATGAATGGAAGAGTGTCTGGTCAAAAAAGAACATGAAGGAGAAGGAATGCCATTTTTGGTACAGTGACTTAAAATTTATTTTATATAAGTGCCAATTCTATTATTAATTTATGTTATGTGACATATTTTGCTCAGATTTAGCAACTTGAAAGAAATATATATTGTTTTGCACATTTCTAAGAGTAAAGTATCCAGGAGCTAAATGTTTCTGGCCCAGAACTTGCCATGAGGTTGTAATCACGATGTTGGCTTAGGTTCCCATCATCAGAGAGCTTGAATGAGCTAGAGATTCACATCCGTGATGACTCACAGAATTGGCAGTAAGAATCTTCACCACATGAGCCTCTTCATAAAGCTGTGCGCAGTGTGGCAGCTGGCTTTCTTCAGAGCCATCATCAGTATAAGAGAGGTGAGGGAGAAAGGCAAGGGGAGGGGAGGAGACATTAGGTCATTACTTTTGGCATGTTCTATCTGTCACACAGACCATCTCTAGTATAATGTGGGAGAATGTGAATAATAGGAGCTCTTGATATGAGGTTCATCTTAGAAACTGACATTTATATAGTTCAACTCTTGGAAAGTTCATAAATTCAGTGATGCTGGAGAAGAAAAGAATCCGTTTTATTAGTACCACAAAGTTCTTAGGATGAAGCTATTCGTCTGAATAGTACTATGACTATCAAGAAATGAACTTTGCAATAAAAATCTCATGAAAAAGATGTATATTGGTCTATAGAGTTTCACTGAAGAATTCTATCAACCATTTAAAAAAACTCATATCAATTTCTTATAATTTCCCCCAATGTGACTTTATGAGATTAGAACTCTCCTGATACCCAGATCATAAAGGAAAATACAAGAAAAAGAAAACTAATTGTTAATATAGATGTGAATACTTATAATAAAATCTAGCAAACTGAATACGTCAATGTACAAAATTAATTCCACACCATGACTAACTGGGCTTTCTTTCCCACATGCAGGACTAATTCAGCATTCAGAAACAATCAGCATAATCTGCCCTATCAGCAGGTTAACAGAGAGAAAACATGATCATATCAGTCAACACAGGAAAAAGGGCATTTGATAAAAACTAATACCCATTCATGGCTTAAAAAAAAAGTCTCAGAGAAATGGGAATAGAAGTGAACTTCTTCCATTGACTAAGGATCATGCATAAAAATCCTATAAACATCATAACACAATGATAAGAGGCTTTCCTGCTGTGTTTGTTCTCAAAGAGTAGGAATATGATAAGGATGATTGAGGATTTCTTTTTTTAAATCTTAATCAACATAGTTGCAGAATTTCTAAAGATGGCAAAAAAGATTGAAAGCTTGATAAGGAAGAAATAGATCTATTTATAGATGATAAGATTATTTCCTGGAAAATTCCAGAGAATTTTACCCAAACTAAAAAACCAAAAACCCAAAACCTTCACATTTCTCTGTCATATAGATAGATAGATAGATAGATATTATACTCATCTATACATTCATATACATACTATATATACACATATGTATGTAAAATATGAGTAAGATCCTTTATTAGTTATTGAAATAATCTCAGAATAGACTACATTATAGGTGTGGTTGAGTAGCAGAAGTAGTGAGAGAAGAAAATAAACTTGGTCATGTGAAACAAGTCAAGAAGAATCTAAGAAGTGAAGGAATATTGAAAACAAAGAACAAAGTCCATACTGAGAGTTACAGGGTTTAGCCATCTGCTCAGAGAAAAGAAAAGCCACAATTCTTGAACTCAGATTCTGTTAAGTGAAGAGAATTGTGTATGTCATCATTTCATGTGCATTTATGAAAGATTTATTTTACTTTTATTGGTGTGTGCGTGCATCTGTGTATGCTCATGCATATGCAAGCAGGTCCCTGCAATGGCCAGAAGAGGGCATCAGATCCTCCAGAACTGGAATTAGAGGTAAGCTATTTGATGTGAGTGCTGAGAACCAAGCTCTGGTCCTGTGAATGAACTGGAAGTTTCCAATCACTTAATTGCCTCTCCAGTTCCATTCCACATGCATTCTGAGTGTAGAGCCCTAATGATTGTACCATGTAGGGGGAGGGAATGTAGCCATCATTTTTTGTTAAAGTCTTACAACTTTACAGAAGCCTAGGAAGAAGCAACTCAAAGCAGTTTTAAAAAGCCTTCCGGTGATTCCTGATCTGAGTCTACTCCAGCTAAAATTCTCTTTATACCAGAAATGCCATTTCACTCCTGGAGTACAAGGACTCCCAAGCACTGGAAGCAAAACTGGAGCAGACTTTACATTGCATAGTATCTGGCAAAAGAAGCCATCATTGATATCCAGTGATGGAAATCAAAGGGGTTGCAGCCTTGATGCTATGAGCACAGTGTTACATGGATGATTCAGTTGATCCCTGTAAATCTGAAGGCATTAGCAATCAATTACGTCATCTTTGTGGAGACTAACATAGCACCGGGGTAAGTTTGATTGTGTTTTCACTAGGTTTCCAGACAATCTAGTCTCTGTTGTAAGACACCAAAAACTGCACAGGATTAAGACCTGGAATTTGCAGTGGCCGCAGATATTTCATCTGCTCTTTATAAGTCTCTGCAAAGGGATCCTCCATAGTCTTGTCCACCCCTACTTCTGCGAATCTAGATAAGAGTTACTTTACTGTTCATAATAAATAAATGCAAACGCCGTTTCAGAAGATGTGTGACTGATGGTGTTTTGAGACATGGTGGGTTTGTTTGACCAAAAATATCTAGTGAGGAATAATTTGGGTCTATGAGAAAGTTTTTGTCCTTTTACTTTATGCGTTATTGGTTAAAAAAAAGTCATTTTAACCCCATTAACCCTCAGTGATTCATTGCTAAAATGCAGACAATATTATCTTCCCTATTTATTATAAATGATTGGTGATTCATCAGCTAATATGTGTTCCTGCCAACTTCAGACTAAAAATAAAATCCTAGGCTAGCTGATTGACTCAGTGGGTAAAAGGTGGTTGTCGCTAATCTGAGTTTTATCCCTAGGTCCCACATGGTGAAAGGTGAGAATTAAGTCCCACAGGTTCTCCTCTGACTTCAATAAATAAGCTATGGCACCTGCATGAGAACACATACAAACACACACACACACACACACACACACACACACACACACACGGGGCAGAAAGGTGTGCACATACACAATAAATCATAAATTAAAATTTAAAAATTCTAAATGCTTTTTATTAAATTAAAATACTCTAGCAAGCTTTCTTGGACTGCTAGCCCCGAACCATGAAATAGAGACTTATTATTAATTATGAATGCTCAGCCTTAGTTTAAGCTTGTTTCTACCTAGCTTTTTAAAACTTAAATTAACCCATTTCTATTAATCTATGTGATGGCCTGAGGTTTATTTACCTCATCTCTGCTTTCCTGCCATTTCCATGTCTACCTGGTTGGCTGCCAGCTGGTTGGACCCTCTTTGATTGGACTCTGGCTGTCTGGCTAGTTTCCCTTTTCTCTCTACCAGGCAGCCCTACCAATCCCTCCTCTGCCTAACTATTGACGGCTCAGCTTTTCATTAGACCAATCAGGTGCCTTAGGCAGGCAAAGTGAAACAGCAACACATCTTTACAGTTAAGCAAATTCGACATAAACAAAAGCAGCACACCTTTACACAATCAAACAAATGTGAATGTGGCCATGAGAGAGTACCTCTTACTGAACCTGATTCAGCTCACAGATTCAGCTAGACCAGCAGGTCAGCAAACTCCAGGAATCCTCCTGTCTCCACATCTCCAGCACTGGGAAACATGTTCAACGCACCACCACACCTGCATTTTAGCTGGCTGCTGGACATACGAACTCAAGTCCTTTATACGCTGAAAGATTCCCCAGCCCAATAAATGCTTTTCAACAATTGAATGACTGAGCAATGCTGTGCTTTTAAATTCAAATCCATATAAATTAAGACTGACTATGTTCCCTCCATCTTTATGAAAGATGAATGTGGACAATATTTTCCCTAGAAATTTCCCAAAGAAGCAAATATTTCCAAAGAATCAATGTTGTTACAAGACTCAAGAGAGCCACTTGTGATGAACAAAGATGGCAGAGACTCAACGTTTGGCTTTGGGTAATAATTCCCTAAAACCTGAGGTTCTCTTTAACAAGGAGTTGTTCTCTCTGCCTTTGGAAGCTTTTGAGACAGTTGCCGGGCAAGGAAAGGCTGCCGAGGGATAGAAACCCAACCCAGCATGCTGCCTGAAGAAGTTCATAGCCTTCTCTCAGATTTCTTTCAATAACTGCAAAGAAACCCAGAGTGGGAAACCTTTGCCTGGGTCACACTATGTCAGCCCCCAGTTGCTCAGGAATGCACAGTGCTTCAGCTTCAGAACAAAAGCACCTTTGAAAGGAACTGGGGGACATGCATCACCTAGAAAAATCAAGCAAGGAGGCAATCTGAGAGGATGAAGGTGTTTCTACAGTCTCTCAACACTTCATTTAAGTAGCTATGTTGCATCGCGGCTTCAGACAAGGAACCTGGATTCTGTTTCTTGGCATCTCCTCAGCCCACCCGAGACCTGGATGGCACCAGTACCAGATCTGTTACATAGAGTGGCAGGTCACCTATTAGAAGTTCTCCTAGCTGCTTCTGAAGAAGCCAGGCTCACCTGAGGTTTCTTATTTCTCTTTCTGATTTCCCACTATGGATCCACATGTCAAGACATGCTTAATCACAAATGTCCTTAACTAACAAAAAATAATATCCAGGGCTGGAAATGTACTCCGTGATAGAGTACTTGCTTAGCAAATGTGAGACCCTGGGTTCCTTCGGAGCACCAATATAATCATCATCGTTATCATCGTCATCATCATCATCATCATCATCATCATCCAGGCAATCCAGAGCAAGTGAAAGAAATGCAAGATCATGAGAATATTTATATTTTGCCAAGACAGGCTTTTTTCTTTCTCTTTTAATCACTCTTTCTCTTCTTCTTCTTCTTCTTCTTCTTCTTCTTCTTCTTCTTCTTCTTCTTCTTCTTCTTCTTCTTCTTCTTCTTCTTCTT